GGAATTTCCAAGTTAAATTAAGGTTAGGGTAAGGGTGTATATATGATAAAATCAACCCCAAAATGCTGGGTTTATATGAAAATTCCGTTTCCACTTAATTCCGCTTCCACTTACAACATATATAATGATAAATTTACATACGATTTTTAAAATTTTTGGGGCCTTTTTTGGCATCTTTTTTTTTATGCATAGTTAAGTTAGGATTTAAGGTTAGAATTATGAATTAAAGAGTATAGGTGAATTTTGGTAGGGCTTATATTTTCAAATTGAGACCCCAAATTTCACGATGATTCGATTTCACGATAATCCGCGACAATAAATTTTGTTCCTAAACTTAAATTTGGGGACCAAAAATTACCGGTAGTTAAATTTGACAAATGCGCCGTAATCGGCATTATTTTACCCGCATTTTCGCACGTGAGTGGAACACGGTATTTTCGTGCCGTTGGCAAATATTATAAAAAATTATAAATACAATGCTTTACGAATGTAAGTACGAAACAAAAAACCCAAATCTCGACTCAAATTTTAAACAAAACTTTTATAAAACTTCTATAAAACTTATATCCTGTAATCAAAAATGTCTCACGAACACGAAAGTTTGTTAAAAGCCTTTCAACATCTTGTATCAACTAGACCAAAAGAGAAGGTTCTTTTGGTCCCCAATGGTGCAGAATATGAAGAAATTAATTTTCGTGACTTGGACCTTATTACCAATAAATACGCTAACTATTGGAATAAACAATTAGAGAATGAAACCTTGGAAAAAGACTGCGTAATTGGTTATTTATCACAAAGTGGTCCTGAATACTTGTATAACATCTTAGCTTTATGGAAATTAGGCTTTACAATCTTATTCCTTAGCCCTCGAAATTCAGAACCTGCTTTAGTTCATTTACTTCATGAAGCTAATTCGCGTATTCTCATCCACGATCCTCAATTTTTAAAACTCTCAAAAAATGTGCAAAGTGAATTAAGTTCTCAACATTCGAAGACGCTCAACATTTTTCAACTTCCTAATAGTTTGAAGAACGAAAAAATCAATGATTCAGCTCCTGTCCTAAAATTAAATGATGATAATCATTACGATAAAACTATTGCCATTTTTCACAGTTCCGGTTCAACCTCATATCCTAAATTAGTTCCTATATCTAATCGTTATCTTTTAAATAAGAAAACAGAAGACAATGCTGATGATATTGTCTTAGCAACCGCTCCAATATTTCATGTGTATGGAATACTTGTTGCAACAAGAACCATTTTAACTCCTGGTGCTTTATATGTATTCCCAATTGCCTCAGGATCAATTCCTTTAGTATATGAAATT